CCCGCCGCTTTTCTAACGTACGCGGTCAACGTGCGAAAGTCGTTAGAAAATAATTGTGATTCTTTCCCGTCTCTACTTGTTCTCTTTACCCTTCAGCTTGGTTGAAATATTCATATGGTTACTTTAATTAGAAGGAAAGAGACTCTATTCGAACACGAGAAAAAATGTAGAGCAGGAAGAGCGAAGGAAGTTATATGTTGCAAGGGGCATCAGGAAAGTGAATTAATTTTCGAGCTGTTGCTTCGGAGAAGTAACGTGGCCGGGCTTTTGAATTTAATTAAAATTTTGACAAATTAGTCTCCCCGGGGTTGCACGCGTGTCTGGTCGTAGGTACGCGCGTTCGCTGGAAACGGATTTTAGCGAATAAATCATAATACTATTCGCTGTTCATTTCGTTTTTTTTTTTCCCGTCGTTTCATTCCGTGGAATAATGGTACGGAATGTAAAGTTTCAAATTAAATCCCGTTGCACAGGACGTATTTTAGGATATCATCGCGAGAGTTAATGATTGTAATTAGGATTTATACGTGCCTTCTGATAAAATAATTGGCTCGACGATTATTTTATCACCCTATTACACTCTCACCCCGGATCGTCTAATAAAAATGTTCGAACGTTCGCATGAAAAGGAGAATCCGTGGATAACCGACGACTACAGAAAAATTATACGTCCGACGAATTTTATTTTTGTTTAAAATCGCATAATCGTACATGTGTTTTTTGCGCGATGGGACGGACGGAAGGTGAGAACAAGTTCGGAATTCCCTGCAGACCGTGGAACGTGTACACGGTGGTACGTAGGTACGATGTACGTACACCGATATAGCTACGGAGTTCTCATTTCACCGAGATATCGGATTTTCTCCGCTCCTCCACCCTTCTCTCCCTCCGCCGCTTTCTTCTTTATTATCCTCCTATACCGACTTCCTCTCCCACCGTTCTTTATCCCAAACAAAGCAATCTCGAACCCGTAGCGCGACAGCCCCTACGTGCGACTGCTAGGTGACAATTTATATACCCACCCACCTATATAACAACTTACTCACTCGATACGTCTTTCTCGCGCGAGACTGCGGCCGCTTTCACAGTTCCGTGCCTTGGCCGTTTGTTATCGAAAAATATCAAGTTTTACTACGGCTCCGAAGCTGATGATTCAGCCACAGTTTACGAACGAGCAACAATTCGAACTCCAATTAAATGAACATGAAAACATTTTTATACCAACACAGCTACGAACAATCTCGTGTCGTAAAAAATTGATTTTTACCAAATGAAGAAATTGATCGTTTACGAAACGGTGAAACAGTAACGAGTGATTAGAACGACGTACAAGAGCCGATACGTGTACTTAATGTCGCGTTATTGAAGAGGGGGCGAACGTATCTAATAAAACTGATTTCACGCGCGATTCTTCGCATCCGACGCGCGCAACAATAACTGTGACACACGCGTACCACCCCCATCGAGCCAAGGCGACGACGACGGAGAATATACATGTACACACGTACGAGGCTGTTATGGGATAAGAGACATAAGTCCGTGGCGTCACATGCTTATAACTGCCCCCTATCAGAATAATATTATTACTCAGCCACCCCACGATTATCCTCGTGACGCGAACCGTCGCATCGTTCACTCCTCGTCCCTTTCGGAGACACTTACGGAAAATTGTTACGTTACACGCGAAACGTGCCGAATTGAAATCCATTTTATCTCGTGCCTATTTGAAACGCAAATCGATTTCCTCGTTCGAACAAATCCCCGTTTCCACCGGATAGAAGTCTACGCGAGGTGTTCGCGGTTTATCGTCGCCGATTCACGGGAATAATTCGGATCCTTCTCGCGAGTACTACGACTCATCGGTTGTACGAACTTACCGCTTAAATATCAATTTGTAAGAGGCGGTTGGCTGATTAGCATCGGCCCGGGCGAGAGGAGCGTAAAGAAGTTTCAGGCACGGCGAGGAAAGTTCAAGGATGCAAATTGGGGTAATATCGCGGCGGTGGCAAGCGTGGGGGATTCGTAGTTTCCGTCTCGTTGACACCCGGACCCCACCCCCGCCCCTTAGTTAGTACATTAATTGCAAGATTCATTAAGTCGTGCTATTAACGAGCTAATTGGCACTGCACCCGAGGGAGAAGAAATAATTTTGATGGAATATTGTTTCTACGGATTTGTCAGAAATTATTCCTCGCTATACCACTTATCAATTTTCATAAACTCTATTAAAAAGGTAACAAGATTCTATAATGAATATCCATTGTGTGTTAATAAGGTCAGGGTCAGAATTATAATCGCATTATCGTCAATCATGAATAATCAAAATATGAAAATGATTTTTTCCTAGTTAATGAACTTAGGAAAATTGTCGTAAACGTTTAATAACTGGGAACATTGTAGTTCATATGCTTGCGTCGGTATAAATTATATTTCCAACATTATCATAAAAGTACTCATTATAAATTTTAAACGGTGAGAACTGAAGTGGAAGGAATCGTTATCATCAAAGGAAAGAAAACATTCATCGTTTCGCACCAGAAGACGGTATATTACTCATCTATTTTGAAACTTTGATATCTCATTCCGAGGTGGTTGAATGAATGAATAATTATCTGGCACGGTTCTGGTAGGTACAAATCGAATCTTTTTCCCGGTCTCGGGGAATAGCCACCCCTCGCCCCGGAGACACTTTTGCGGAGCCACCCCGAATAATCGGTCTCCAATTTATATTAGCCGAGGCAACCTCAACCCCGGAACTCTTATAATAATTCCACGATCCTTCCACCATCGGGAAGCCGCGCGATGTTCATTTCATTATTTTTTTCCTACCCAACCGCCTTCGGTTCCTCTTTTTCGAGCATCGCCTAGCTTGGTGCCCCTCTCTTTTCTCGTTTCACTTCGCCACCCTCTCCGGCCGCCGCCGCCGCCGCCAACCCCCGAGAGCCCCTTCGTACACGAGGCACCCACCACCATCCACGCTGAGAGGGTGATAAGTCGTGACGTCGACGAGGTAGAGGTGATTCCGAAGGGTAGGCGTGGCCGTGGCATCCCATGGGGGTGCGAGGGGTCGAATCGAGAGGAAAGGGTGGCTCGTAGCACGCTCTCGTTGGCTGCTCCGTTCTCCACCACCACGTGGCGCGAGCAACCCCGCCGGTGGACGGCGGACTGTAGAAACTGGGAAAATCGTGTAAGAAAAAGTCGGAGAACCAGCATCGATGGACCCACCCTTCCTGTTTTCCGAGCCCTTTGCTCGCGACGACGATTCTACTTAAACCCCGAAATGTTCTTGAGTCTCGAAACCACCCGCACCAACGTCGTCGTCTCTGCTCTCCCGTTTCCTCTCATTCGCTCTTTCGAGTTTAAAGAAGCTTGCCCGCTTCTTATTTTCTTCTATCGTTATTTCACCGTGTTTGTATGACCCGTTGAAAAGTAATACGTGCGCGGTGGCCCGCGTCCCTGTCTTCGACACGATCGTTCAAGATTTAGTGCACTAGCTCACTAACTTGCATTACGATCTCCTTGTTCTGCTGTATGGACAACGCGGAACCCCGGAAACCGCTACTATCGTTAGTTCAATTAACCCTACTGACACTTCCGCCGGACAAACGCTACGATTTCTGTATATACCACGACAACCGCGTCAGCCCACACGAAATTAGGCTAATCGTAGGCATGTTCGAGTGTGTTCCAAATCTAGTTCTACCAGAGAATTTCTTTTTTCAAAGACAGACGCTCGTATCGTTATCTCGATCTAGCAATTACGTGAAACAGTAATGGTGATAATTGAGAAAAACATTTGAGTCGATTGCCAGGTCGTTCGTGGACGATTGCCAAGCCAGTGCCGGGACTGATTATTATTAATACCATTACTATTATTATTATTATAATCGTTGTTATCGTGCCGGTTTGTATAATCGTTCGAGCGCCGGTTTAAATCCGAAGAAAAGCGGCTCGGCGGGCGTCACCGGTACCTATAATTATACCTACAAGAAAATCACATTGCACAAAACGATCTCGTAGGACACGTACGGGGCCACGTCCACAGGCGCGCGTACAATACACGTAGACGTGTACTGGCAATAGACACGCGGCACGGTACCTAACCACTGATAAAACGACGCGCATACCTACACCGCGCCGCGCCGCATCGATAGTAGTGAGAGATAATAATGTTGATAAGGGTGTAGAGAGAACCGCTCGGCAACCCCCTGCCATTGGATAAACGGGACGAATATAAGAGCGAAAAGGATGTACCAAGAGCGCGTATACGTATAAACTATAATAATGTGTTCGTAGCGTAGGGGTGAGAAAAAGAAGGGCTCGGAGGGTGAAAGCGAGCGAGAGCCGGGTAAGAACGGGGTGGAAGAATGAGAGAGAAAACACGCGGTGGAGGAGCGTATAGGCGTGGCCACGAACTACCCTCGGAACAGCCGATTGGACGGGGTGCCGGTCCGCTTCGTCAAATAAAATTCAATCGTTAGGACCAAAGGAATGCGAGAGAATCTCCTAGCTTTTTTCCACCCTCGCTACTTGCCGAACCACCCTTGCTTCAACTTTCGCCGCGTCGTCCCGCGCATCCCACCTTCGTTCGCAACCTCGGCTCCGCTCCCATTCCCGCCTTTCGCCTCCCTTCCGTTACCTTTAAAGAGGGTACGCGCAGCGCCGTTTGATGGGAGTATGATTTTATTACGGCATTACCGAGCGAGCCAAACCCCGAATTGCTCGGCTTATAGTCTGTATTATCTCACCTAGGAGGGAAACGGTCGGTGAGAGGGGGGTGCGAGGAGGGTCGCAACGCCGAGATTCGGAGGAGTGGAACGTCTGGGAGGTGGCAAGGGTACAGAGTAACACGCTCCTTCGTCTCCCTCCAACCCTGTGCCGCTGCCTATGCGTTAAAGGGAGCTGTTTCGAGAATCTGAGCGGTGAACGGGAGGGGGCAGGAGAGCTGGCTATATGCCTTTGTCGGCTTTCATTCGAGGGTTGCACGCTCTCACGTTGCATTGCCACACTCCGAGAACCCCTTCCTTCTCTCTCCCTCTCGCTATCTCCCTCTTCCTCGTCATTGCTCGCTCTCTACCCCTGTCTCTCTATCCCTCTTTCACGGGCTGTCTCTGCGCTCGCATGCACGTCAGTTTACATTCCGCTGCCGAAAACGCACGTTCCTTCCTCGACCGTAACCGCTTTTGTGACAGTTCCGTGCGGCTGGTTCCTTGCGCGCCACGCGAAATGTCCCGTGTGTACCGTTACAGGTCGGCTTTGTGATTCGAAGTGATACCGCGGAATGACACGCTCTGTGATCGAGTGCATCGACTGAGGGAAGGATCGATCACCGTAGGAGAAACCGCGCGAATGGATCGAGGAACGACTTACAGTGAAATTCGTACGTTCTGGTAAATGTGACGAGGGAAGGAATGTCGATCGCGAGAATCGTGATCATCATCGATGTTGCTCGTTGACAACGCGCGGAGATTCGTAACGGACTTATCGCTCGTCAAATTGTGTAGAAGTACTTGGACGAATAGTAACCGTAGTGCTATGAGAAGATTAGTCGAAGACCAAGTATGATCATATCGAAAGAACAATTTTAACGAAGCTTCATAATCGTCAGACTTCGTGACAAGAATAACTAGATCTCGTGACCGACAGAAAGACGAACCGATCAGTGGGAAGGAGTAGGGGAGGATCAGTCCAGGGGAGCGTAATATGTTCCCTTCGTCAGCGGCGATGCTGAAGAATCTGCAACAAAGTACAATGACCTCGCCCTTTTTGATGGAGAACTTGCTCCAGAGCAAGACGTCGCCCGGTGCCGATCTTACCAGTCTGACCTTGAATTGGGCGGCCAGCCTGGTGGCGAGACAACGCGAGCGCGAGTGCGAAGCCAACCTGAGGATCTCCAGGGAGAAGATCTCGCCCTCGAGCACGAGTCAAGACCAGCTGGACCAGCGGTTGTCGGCCGGGTCGCGTGACTCTTCCGATCGTCCAGTGAACACCGTGATCGACTGCAGGGACCAGAGAGGACCGGTCGGCCGGATCGACCGTCAGAACGATCGGATCATGCACATCGTGCGCGAGAAGGACGGGATGGAGAGGAGTCAGACCATGTACGTGGACGTCGACAGCGAAAGGATCGACGGGCACATGATCATGGATCGTCTCTGCGCGATGGAGAGGCTCTGTAACGAGAGGATCGAGAACCAATCGAGCTCGGCGGTGGACTCGTGCAACTCGAACGTCGACGAAGACCCGAACGGGATCGAGATGGACGCCGGGCTTCAAGGCGAGAGGGAAAAGGAAGACGGGATCCTCGGGGGCGAACGCGTCACGGCGTTACATCCGGACAGGCGGTACGACCTTGGATGCAGAAACGTCATGCACACGTCCGATGAGATGACGATTCAAGGGGAGAGAGAGGCGGTGGTCGAGCGTGTCGTCGACAGAACGGGAGAGAGAACGACTGCCTGTTCCTGCGGGGACGAGCAGTGCTTAGGACCCGCATGCAGGACTATCCAGGAGAAGGAGAAGCCACAGCTCAAGTTCAGCGTCAACGCTATACTTGGTGGCAATCATGACAGGCGACCGCATTCGGGTAATTATTATAACTTCACTTCCTCGACGTGTATTTACCGCACGCGGCAGACTCTCTACGTAAGCTTAAGTCAGTTTAGTATACTCTACGATCGGCCGTACAAGTAGACTTTTTAGCCTGGGACCACGAGGCCGTCAAATTGACGGATGTTTGTACGTACGTTCTTTTCTTAGGACACTGAAAGAAAAAAGAAAGACGTATCATGAGATCCCCTTACTTAGAACAGGAGAATCAATCTTCCGTCTACACGTTTCTCGTTTCTTTATTTTACAAAAAACAGAAAACAAATTAGGCGACTGTTAGCCGTTGAATAGAATATTATTATCAGATCGTAAAGTAGATACATCATCTTTAATTAAACAAAGTTATCCGTCGCGGATAATAGATTAAGTTCGAGTGGGAAGATTTAGATTGACGATCGCATCAGTAGAATCTTTAGTCATCTCCTAAGCGTTTAGAGTGTTGAAACAAAGCTCACCACAAATCAGTGTCGCCGGCAGACTTCTGTCGTCGGTCCCTAAATCTCATCCGCACACCCTCAAGACGAGTCGCAGCGTGCGTGCGGGGTGGAGCAGGACGTCAGCTGGTCCGCCACTTACCTTCACCCCAATATTAAGCCCTTACGATTGGTGCCTATAATATTAGACAAGCGGCAGAATCCAATGATGTATTACCGTGCCTCTTAACGCGCTTTCTTTATTATTCACTGTAATTCCGGCGACGCGAAATTCGTCTGACCTATTACTGACCGTGACTACTTACCGCCGATACGGCGACGCGCTAGCGTCATGGGACAGTACGCGAAATTATTATTTGTCATAAAGTACTAACTGTATTATCTCAATTTCAGTAGTTTCAGTGTAAGAATACATAAGTACTTGGTATAGTTATGAAAACGTTTCAACAGCAATGGATCGAAGTTTGTTTCCTTCATTCTTGAAATATGTAAAAAACTCAGCTCGTATCGGAAGCACTTCAGTGTACATCAACCATACATACAATCTCTTGCATCCCCGTCGTTCTTTTTCTCTTCCTCCCTTCCCTACCGCTAACAAGTGATTGACACGAGTCGATAAAGTTCATGCACATACCATAAATACATAAACGCCGCGCGGACCACGATAGCGAGATGGTAGCAGGTAGGCAACCCTGAAAGCTGGAGCGGGACGGAAAGAGAGAAACGAGAGATGGTTCATCAGGGAGGGGACGAAGGTAGATAGGTGGAGAGGCAAATGTTGCATTTAACATCGGCGGATTGCATGCATGCGTCCACGGTAGAAAAGGACAGAAGTTAACGTTCGGACAGAGAGAGAGAGAGAGAGAGAGAGAAAGAGAGAGAATCGGAGAGTGGTCGGGGAAATTTGGTGCGCTCGAAATATCGGTGGGGGTTGGGATGTTTCATGCATTTGTCGGATAGCGGGATGCATTGACCGTGCCACGTGCATGTGTTACATACCTTCCCCTCCGGCCCGTTCCCCACCGCGCCACTCCTCTTGCGTGAATCCATCGCCTCCGATAGACCCTCCAACGTCCGCGAGCTGTCTCCTCCTCCCCCTCCCCCTCTGTCCTCCTCTTGGTGCGAGCCAACCCCCGAAATCACCCCCTCGCCAATGACCGGCGGTACCGTCGTGTGCGATCCGCTCGGTTTTGTACGTCATGTCGAAATGTTGTGAAATAATTGCGCGAAAAAGTGATTGGCAACAAACTCGAAATTCATCGACGCCGCGGAACGAATGCCGTGGCAGCGTGGACGCTCGAGAGAGGGTTGGGGAACAGTTGAAACAGAGTGTGGCGGGGGCTCGGGTGCACGGTCTGGAGTGGATGGGCGTTTGACGGGAGAGCGACGTTAAATTTCGAATAGCATTTTCGCCAATCGTTGTGCGATTTACCAGGCCCTCGCACTCTTTCGCTTTGTTCGCATTCATCTCTGTCCCGCGTCGGTGCCTGCGTTACGCTCGCGCTCCGTCCCTCGTCCGGGGCGGCCGCGCTTTCATTCGTCCCACCGCCGACTTCTGTCCTCTTCACCCCCGTTGTTCCTCGTTGTTGTTTGTCGCTATTATTGATATTTTTCGATATCGAACGTGACACGACGCGAGACTGATTTAGATGAATGACGAACCGCGTGTAACTTGTGCAGTTTTATTTTCCTCTCATTCTCGTTAGAGACAATATATTATCGAAGCTATTTTACAGACCGTTGAAAGCATGATTTTCAAGTAACGAATTTCACATCACAAACGGAAAGGTATAGAATTGCGTCTTGATGTTTAATAAACGACCGTAGGACGTCAGCCTGTTAACCATGCGCTAAGACAAACACGGTTCCTCTATTAGCTAACTGTGCCGTGAAACACCGTGGTCGTTTTCTGCCCTGTATAAATCGTCGAGGCTCCCCATTCATCGGGAAACCTGCAGCGGTGTCTACTTAATAATGCATCAAATAGTCTAATCCCAAAGAATAACCACCGATACGCTGTAGCTCGGTTATACCGTGGATCGAACCCCGGGAGGGTGCAGAAAGAGGAATGGGCAGTCTTTAAGCCCAGGCATTAAAAAAAGCGCAGCTCTACAACTGTAACAACACGCGAACCGCTCTGGATATGCTCGATGGGCTTTGCGAGGCTTAATCTTCTCGGTTCTCGTGCGACGGGGACAGGAACAGGACGAGATACAAGAAAGATATACGGTTTGCGAAGGGAATAACGAGAAGGAGGTGGAGCAGCTTAAAAAACGATTTCCATTCAATGTTTCCGTTGGAGGTTAAGCCGTTATTAGTTGGCCAGGGTTTGCGATCCCGACCGGGGTTGCTCCTCTTATTGGCTGGCTAGGAAAACAACGATAAAAGGCGATGAGTATTTTATGGGGTACATCGGCACAATAGGACGTCGTGTATGGGCCATTGTTATAGCATTGTCTGGCTGGAACGCAAGGCAAACCTTCCTTTCTCCGTGTGGTTCTCGCTTCTTGGTCCTGCTGGAACATACGCTCGTCCCTGGCTCTCTATTATTTTATTATTTTCAAATACGTCACCTTTTCCTCGCCTGTCTCCTCCTATTCTTTTCTCGGGTAAATTGGGCGTGGTGGTTTGGCCGAAAAAATATGTTAAAACGTGTCAAATCACGAACCCTCTTTGGTCTGTATAAACAAGTGGTAGGTTCCCATATATTATTTTCGATAGACCGGGACTCATCGTCTGTGTACAAGTTTTCGATAGTTCGATTATGATAGACTTTTCCAATTTCTGTCAATACGTATTTAAAGCGATCTGCGATCTCTTAGATCTTTTGAAACTGTATCGCGAGCATTTATCAACCGCGAATGGTTGGATATATCTATCTTCGGTTCTCGCGTACCGAATATTCCGAGTATTTACTCTGGAGGTGTTGAAGCGTGCGTCAACAAGAGGTTGGGCTTTGCCTGAAGCTGTTGAGGAGGGTTTAGTCGGGGGTGTCAGCTCGAATTATGCATCGCAAGGAATACAACGACTTGAGCATTCCGTCGTGCGAAAATCCGGAACCTTGGGCGTTTCACGGGGAATTCGACCGTGAAGAATCGTGTTCCCGTCTTGCCTCCGCGTTAAGTCAAACGTTACGAATAAGCCGACTTATTATCCAGTCTAACTAGAATTTCTTATTGTACGTTTCGTTGTTGACAACAATCATTTGTCTGTTTTAATTATTATTAATCAGCGAAACGTTTTGTATTTTTGCAGAAAGTTTTCAAGGTCTACCGCCGGAAGCGATACCAGCGTTCTTGCAAAATCTGCAAAATTCTGCCAATTACAACATAGCGAAACCGATCGCCAGACCAGCCGCGTATCATCCTTATCACAGACCGAGTCATCAGCCGCCGCAGCGTCATTTGCCACCGAACGCACATCACACGATACAACAATTATTCTACAGAGGACCGTATTTGACAGGTAGATGAATAACATTATTTCGATATTACCGCGTGTCATAATTAATTCGCTACTAATAATTAGCAACACGCATAATTGTCGTATTGCGAATGCTCGTCGAAACCAGATTTCTCTATTCGTTGTTATTTTTTTTCTAATATTCTTTGTTGCATATTTATTTCGGGTAAAAGTTAATAAACAATCCGTACGGGAGCCGGAAACACGGCCTCGATGAACATTTAAAACCGAAACTTCCGCACATGGTGCCCGGGCGTATAAACGCGCGGGCACGTGCACGGCCACGGGTTTATCGAATATCTTGTTATAGGTAGGCTCGTATGGGACATGGAGTGCATATGAAGTGCAGCGAAAGCACTACCATATTATGTACATGCACCGCCACAAGCAAAACGCACGCATGCAACAAGTGCGTGCAAATATCATCGGCGCAGATAATACTGTCATGCTCAGCTTGGCAATATTGTACAGACACGATCTGGAGATTCAATTGCCCGTTCGTTATTAGACGATTTTGATTCAATTACTATCGTACCCGGGCTTTTCACGCGCGACCGATGAATTTTAACTATCGCTGTTATAATAAAATACTTTCTGTTCCTTCAAAGAATTTGATGACGATCAATCGCGTGAGCCTAGCGATTAGAAATAAAATCTAGCAAACTATTTATTTCAACGCGAGATTTGATGCAAATTTTTATCTAAGAAGATAATTATCTAAGATCCAAATCTGACTTTTAATGTGAAACGTATGTAATTGACAGTCGCCAGCTCCGGGACTGGAGGACATCATCCTGGTACTCCAGGTGGTGGGACGGCATTTCCAGGTGCGATCCAAGGCAGTTTAGGCGATTTTACGAGCACGGGTCTCGTGTTTCCATGGGCGACGAACACCCGCGGAAAACCTCGACGAGGAATGATGAGAAGAGCAGTCTTCTCGGACCTCCAGAGACGTGGCCTCGAGAAGAGGTTTCAGACGCAGAAGTACATCAGCAAACCGGACCGCAAGAAATTGGCTGAGAAACTTGGTCTCAAGGATTCCCAGGTAAGAGACAATGCTAAACATATTTTATTATACTACTTCTAAATAATTATAGAAGTATAAATAGAAATGCGTTTGATCGGAGCGTAGAGAGTCATGCATGTTAATTGGTTAAGGAAGTAAATTGAACAATCTCGTGGGTAATAATGATTATGCGAGATAATGGCATCAAATATGCCAGGTTCAGGTAAACTTGTGTGTATTATAATACGTGTATAGGCTTGTCACGATGAAGCGGTTGCCTCCGTAGCTGTGAATGGCCAGAGTGATGCTTAGTACCGCATTTAACGATCTTAATAGCGTACTAATTTATTAGCGAAACGAACAGTTCTTTGCCCATCGGGTTTACGCGAAACAATTACCGATAAATTGCAAAGCTAATTCGTTAGCATAGCTACGGATTTCATGTAGAAAATTAACAAACTAGTTAGGGGTTCAAACGGTATTTAATATCTGACGAATTTTTCAGTCAACAATAGTTCTTTAAAAAAATTTGGATTTTCTATGATATCAAAAGACAGAAATATATCATAAATAATTATAAACGAATATACATACGTGAGTCATGAACAAAACCTCCTTTAAGGGTTGATATCCAAGTTTGAGTTCTGATGAAGCTTTTCCATTCAGCATTCACTGCTGACGATTAATGACCTTATTAAAGCTTCTACTCTTAACGGAACACTTAATTCAGCGATGAAACTGCTTCCTCTTTTCATTGCACTTCTATTCGCTGAATCGAGAGAGATTAAATGTTCGTTCTCTGCCAGACGAATTCACGCGTGCCGATGAAATCAGCTTATGAACTTTACAGATTTCTGAATTAGCATAGATGCAGATCCGATTAGATCAGTTCGATTAGCAACGAGCAGAACATCGAATCAACATCATAAAAGCAATCGATTTCGATGTCGTCTTACTTTAAATTACTTTACACGTTTCCGAGGCGATAAAGCGATCGGGAAGCGATTTCAACAATCGTAACGCGTTTATAGCTTAGCCATTGTACAAGAATCGCAACGACGGCAATTCGTATAAAAGTATCGAGCGAAATCCCGACGAAACACGATCATTTTCTTTTAGAACTCTAATCAACGATTTTATCGTTACTACAAGCAAGCAATCTCACAATTTCCTATCGTTATAACAAATTATTCGAGAGACAGATTTATTTATAAAGATGTGTTCGAAGTAACTAATTTGAAAGTTTCGCTCGGAAGCGTAGATGATCGCACGAGGTATTGTCGCGCCGCGTCGGTGTACATGAGAGAAAGAGCAATGGCATAGGTGCACATGGAACTAGAGAGCATATAATACCCCCGGTTCGGGGTTAATCGGGCGATGCCAGTTCATTAGCTGCACACGTACACACCCAGTGAATCGTGTGTAGGGTAGCACATCGACGCGCTGCAAGTCGCCGTCGGTAGCAGGCCGGGTTTCGCTCCGTTGCGCTGCGGCGACGCTAATGAAACTAAACGATGCCCAGAAAATGGCACTGTAAGTTAGTTTCATTTGATTTCATGAGCGTAGTTTCCCGATCCGCACTCCTGCGCCAGGCGATGCGTGCGGCGATGTGCTTTCGTTCATTTTGTTTCCTAAAACTAACTTCCTCCGCCACGGAATCGCTTCCTCTTTCTCGTAGATTCACTGGGAAAATTCATTGTTCCACTTACGAGACAGAAAAGCGGAACGATCTCATTTTCATAATTAATCTTTTCTATTCATAAAGATGAATCCCGCGTAAAAATGGGTCTCGCCTCTGCGACTGTTTGATTGTCCTCTTCAAAGCGAAACCGATGCGTTCTGTATTCGCTGCATAGCGACGTCGGGACGATACATTTTGCATAGCTACGACCATATGGTCGTATGTAGACGAGGCGCAAATAAGGGTAAGAGATAACCATTGGTTAGCGAAGGGCCGGACCGAGGGAGACGGGATCAGGAATCGGTGAAAGAGGACGCAGAGGGAGAGTAAAGGGTACGGGAAGGATATATTCTCATGTATAATTCACACCTCGAGCGCCATGCCTTCACTGCCATTGGTTGAGGCCCACTCCGCTCGTGGTTTTACGAGAAAATCTAAGGACCGCACGCACACCTGCACGGAGATCTGCAGACACACACGAAACCGTCGACGTCTACGTGCACCCGGTTCTTTGGAGTTGGAGTAAATTGACAGTCTTCGCGAATCCGCAGTCCGCATACAAAGGGTTCCTTTGTCTCCCTACGCTTTTTAAACTTCTCTCTCCTCAATTAGCTATGGGACAATTGATGGTGACCAGCGAGTTTAAGAAGCTCGCATTTTACTCTTAATAGTAAAGATTCTACTGTACAGGTTTCATTAATTAGATTTCGAATTTTTGTACAAATAGTAAAACGTCGTATTCACAATGTGCGATTTAGATTCAACGACATGCATGCAACTTTTGATATTTCATATTCAATATTTGATTCAAACAATTTTTCCATAAACGCACAAAAGTCTATAGGGATAATGAGATGGGTAGATAAATGAACTACGACAATTTCGTTTATTCCAGAGATTCCATTGTTGTAGCATAAAACTTCATATATTGACAGTACTTTGAAATAATTGTAGTTACGCAATTTACTGTAGGAAATAATGAGTTCTTCCTTTTTTAATAGAAATACTAATTTCGTTAGCCGAATGACAGAGCACAGTTTTTCCCAGACGCTAAATGTTTATATTGTCACGTAGAAAATGAAACAGGAAAAGGGAAGAAGAACAATTTCGAAGTTGTTGGAGGGCACGTTGAGTATTCGATCTGAGAAGCGTGGTTCTGCACACTTGGCTGCTATCTAATATCACGGTTCGCCACATGAACACCCATAAAAGCGATTATTGTCCGATGATGGCTTTCTCTTCTTCCCGAACTTCCTCACTTCTGCCTCTGTTAATAATACTTACAATCAGCCGCAACAGATGTCGAATGATCTACTCTAATGACTTCACTTCTTAAGTCGCGTTATCAATTATTATTAATTAAAAACTTTGTGAGAAAAGATATAATCGAGGAAAACTAGTGATTGCTTAAAATTTCGTTAATAGGAGTTAGGAAAAGTAATCTTTATTCTAAAAAAGTACAATGGAATCTTGCAGACAGTTTTTCGGATTTTTTCGTCGTCGATCGTATTTGTAATCATACCGGTTTTATGGATCTTTCCTGAGATTTAATTAAAGACTTGCGGTGAACGGGTGGATGATAATAATAAAGCTTTTCTGAGAGGGTAGTATCTTGAGGACGCGGTACCGGATAGAAAGGCGAAAGGCAACGTTTCACTCAGTGCTCGAGCCTTCACTACAGTTTATGACGAGGGTGGGTTTAAGAGGGACGTCGAGGGTTAAAGGGAGATGACTAAAGTAATTAGTGATGGTGAGTAAACTCACCCTTTTCCTTCCCGAACCGTATCCTCGTCTCTGTTCCTCTCGATTCCTTTAGCAACAGGGAGACGTTCATCTATCGCCGGGCTTTTTACAGAAAAATTAAATACTTAATAACTTACCCCAGCTTCCTCTTATCCCCCACGTCGCCGAGCACTGACGTCAATATTCATTTTCAGTTTTTAATTTTTTACGTGATTACATATATGCTAGGAACAGGTTCATCGGTTTTCCTTATCTTTTCGTAAAATATTACATAAAGAGATTTCCCTCTTCAGAATAATATTAAATATCGGAGAGAGCAGAATTTGTAGACTTAAAAGAATACCAGTTTGTACGAAGTGAAAGGGTTTTGTTAAATTCAATATAGAGGAATGGTTAGAAAAAGTGTTTCGATTTTGTGAAAAGGGACGTTGCGAGCACAGTATCACGTCAGAACCGTCCGTATCGCCTTTGGGCAGAATTCATCAACTCGTCGACCTTAAATTAGCCGGAATTAAGAGCAGCCAGCCACTTTTGTGCTCAAGACGTTAGACAGACGGAAGCAAGGGAGGAAAGTAAAAAAGAACGACCGGAGGGCTTGTTATATTTTTAATAATCAGAAATGACAGCGCTTCACGACGATTCTTCTTATTTAGCCTCGTTCAAACATTTAACTGTCAGACACGTGTAACATCAAAACTGATTGTGTCCATTCGAAATGGATGTGTATGCTTGCTAATAATAACTCTGATTTCCAGTCTGTATTTTCATACAATTTATGTCAATCTTGAATCTGCCCTTTGATAGATATAAGGGAAGCAGAGCACGATCGCGTTAATTTGATTCGATAATGGAAATTTCTTCAAACATCGCGGAGAACGGTAAATTAAAACGCATCCTTCAGCCTTATTCTTCATCTCCTTATTTCTTTATCTTCGAAGCGAGAGGGCTACACCTCGAGTGATGGAGACGCTTTGGAGATTTAGCGAATTATGAAGGACGCTCGAAGAATGGCTCGCATTTGGTGCTACTGACAGCCTATTTAGATTTCGCTGGAAAAAAAGGAGTTCCTCCTTTCGACGCACCCTTAATCTCTGATTTTAAATTCGGTTAAAACGATACCTCTCAGCCAACGCTGTTCTCTTAATCCTCCTTCGTGAATACGTATTATTATCAGAGGCTAACGTAAGTTGAAGAAGATAATTAAAAACATTAATGCCATGAACCAGTTACCCATGCTCTTTTCCATTTTATTATAAACTTCGAATTACAGGGAGACGTAATTTAACTTAGAACGTGATTAAAAAATAAAATTAACATTGTAACAACTGGGATAAAGTTTGTTTAAAAATACGTTTACGTTTGTATTTGATTAGTGAATAGACTCGGTCCATGTGTATAAGATGAGCACCGTGCTTCTTCCCATGAAACTGACACTGACACGTTAGATAGATCGACCATTAGGCTTGCGTTTCACCGGAATATAGAGTTCCCCGGATTCCGTCGGTTAAATCAATTTGTAGCCATTAGGGACCGCTTCTGGGTTAAGTTTACTTTGGACAACGTTTTCCTAGAACAATCCCTCATCGTACTTTGTCTGAAGACCACCCCGTTATTT